TGTGTGTGTGTGTGTGTGTGTGTTCCACAAAGGCTCTTAAAATGATACATTTACTAGGCCGTGACAAAAACCTCCGGCGTTTTATTCTGAGATGCGGGTTTTAAAAAAGTGACGTAAAGAAGAGGAAGATTTTTGTCCCTCACAGATTCACGTAGCTCCCTATATATATATATATATATATATATATATATATATATATATATATATATATATATATATATATATATATATATATAACAAATATTATCATAATTTTTATTATTATTTTATTATTATTATTATTATTATTATTATTATTATTATTATTATTATAAGAAAAGGAGGCCTACCTTAAGAAAAACAGAAGATCTATGGCTGAGCTCCAGGTGTGAAAGTTGTTTTTCCCAAATAAAATACTTGAAATATATTCCATTGTAACCCCCCACCCCCCTCCCCCACCACACACACACACACACACACACACACCTCTCTCTCACATCTATGCTCCCCTTTGAGTCTTCTGCTTCTCGGTGCTCCCCCCTCCGCTCCTACCATAACCCACCTGTAAAACCTTGGTTCCGACCCGCACGAGGGTCCCGGCTGAAGACTGGCTGCTTCTGCGGACTGGAGGACAGTTTCAGGAAATAAGTCGCTTTAAATCCCCCTCTCTTTTTTTAGACGCACTGATATGTGAGAGGACGACGAGAGTCCCCCTTTTTTCCCATCACAGATTTCTTTCTTTATTCAGCTGCTCCTTTACATAATTAAATAGGCTAGCTTTGATTATTTTACACGGTTTTTAAGCTCCAATAAATGAACTGAAATAATAAAATATGCGCAAAAACTAAACTGGTGCGAGTATTTGTTATTTATTTATATTAAAACCGTTTACTTCCTGCTTTACTTATTAACAATTCTCCATTTATCCACTGTAACGTTTAATGCCTCTTCTTTACAGACGTTTTTAGAATAAAATGCAATAAAAGCTTGAGCAAAAACTACCTTTTTCTTGCTTTAAACTCCCCCTCTCATCATCCATATCATCGGTGCGCCCTCTCTGCGGTGGGATGGGGATGCTGTCAGTGGCCCTCTCGCTCCCATTGGCTGAGGACTGTGCGTCAAAAAAGTAGCTGGAGACATGTGTTCCCCTGGAAAAAAAAGGGAAAGAAAGAAACCCTCCCCACCAGTGTGAGAGTTGGAGACAGAGAAGGACCTCGGCTCGGTTCTGGTGCTCCTATTGGCTGGCAGTTTGGACAAAATAGAACCCAAAGCACTTCAGTCTGAACAAATCCTTAAGGCGTACATGCAGCTTCCTGCGCATCTCCACCGCTGTTAGCGTCGTTTCTGAGCCCGATGCAGCGCTAAACCCCAACTTTTATTTTGTGCCCTAGATCTGCCGCTCAAGAAGCTGCCTCAGCGCGCGTTGGTGACTTTTATTCATCCAAAACGGACGTCGTTTATTTGATCGTTTTTGCCTGGAGGAAGAGAGAAAAACGAACTTTTTACTCCTCAATGCTAAGGTAAGTTGACCTGCTGTTATTATTATTATTATTATTATTATTATTATTATTATTATTATTATTTGTTTATTTTAATTATTATTGGTCAAAACAATGAAAAACAGACTGGATTTTCACGATTTTTTTCCATCAGAAAAAGCAGCAAATAAAAATCTAATCAAATAAATGTGAATACGTTAAATTAAATCTTTTTGAACACCTATTTGTCCCATTTTACGTCTGATGTGAGTACAGAAAATGAAACATTAAAGTTTTTTTGGAAAATACTTTTCTGCGCTTTTACGCACGAAGCACATCCGACATTTTTGTTCCTATATATGACATTTCATCTTCAAATAAAAACTGACTGAAAACTTGAAGCAGAACTAAAAGGTGTCTGGTATTGAACTGGCTTTTTTCCATAATTATATAATTCCTGGAGGTCATATTTTACCAATTTCACGCTCCCATTTAGTGGAGCGCATGCGAGGCGCGCAGTCCGCACACAGCGAGGATCCAAACAACAAGAATGTTCATACAGAAAACGTTTCTCCTAAATAAAATTAAAAAGTAAGTATTGGATTAGTTCTGGAGTGCATGGAATATTCAGACCTGAGATGAAAATCTCCTGGGCCTTTCGTGTTTCATTCTGGACATAAATAATTTAAAATGCAACAAACCAACGTGTCATTTTTCATTTAGATCACTGGTTTTGGAGACTGTTATTGAGCATCAGAATTTGTGATTTTAGCTCCACATAACGAACAATTATAATACTTTAATATAATCAAATTATTTACAATAAAATGACATTCAAATATTGGATTGTTTTTCAATTGCGCAATAATTACAAATAAAAACTTGAATTTTAATTTGATTTGAGAACCAGGCGTATGACAGCACCACTCGAGTGACGATGTTCTTTTATCAACAGTAAAACATTCATCATAATTAATGCTTGGGGTAATTATTATTGAGCGGGTGTGCGCGAGCAACTGGTTGACGGGCACGTTTTAAGTGTGACAGATTGGGATGAGGGGGTTAAAACCGTTGGATGTTGAGGGCGGAGGGAAAAAATGCAACTAATCAAGAGGCACAGTGGGGATAACGGGTGGTGAGGGTCACTGAAGATGAAGTGATTCACGTTCAGCAGACAAACATCACGTTTATCAAAGAGATGCTGCAGGTCACGTGTTCAGCAGGGAGCAGATGGATCATTATTCCAATAAGAAAGTCTTCTGATTTTTTTCTCATCTGGAAAAGTGCTGTTCGTGAATCAAAATCAGGACTGAAAAGTTTATTGAAGGGAAAATATCATTAAGATCCAATAAATTTGCTCTTAAGACGCACATATTCATAAAATTAAATACGCAAAAGAAGTTTAAATTAAAAAAAAATATCTTAAGCAAGGAGCAGCGGATTTAATCAAGGGACTTGCTGCAGTTTTAGCGCTCTTGCATTGTTTGTGTTCGTGTGTGTGCGTGTGAGTGTGTGTGTGTGTGTGGGGGGGGGGGGGGGGCAGCTGGAGATGAGCTGACGCTTTGAGAGGCACATGCGCTTTTTGGGGAGCGCTGATTGCGCCACATCAACGTGTAAACTGAGCTAATTTCACTAAGGAAGTCACACGTTTTGTGTTCCCGACTCCTTTTTCTCACTTTCTCTTCTTTTGGTTGGCAGATTTCCGGTTTAACGCACAGCCCACCGAGAAGAACGGAGGACACCGAGAGCGCCTCGGGAGCGGCATCAATTTTCAAAATTTTCTCCAACTTCGGCCCCCAAACAAACATTAGCATGATGTCATATCTAAAGCAACCACCTTACACGGTCAATGGACTGAGTTTAACTACTTCCGGGATGGACCTATTGCATCCCTCGGTGGGCTATCCAGGTGTGTTTTAACGTTTCTTTTTTTTTATGCATTTTGTGATTTTTGTTGTAATGAACATGCTAAAATTGGATTTGTCTTTTCCAAATCCGATTAAGTCTTAAATTGTGACCAAAACGCTTAAAGGTCCTTTTTTCTCTTCAAATGTTTTTCCAAAAACAAATTTAAAACTCTTCCATTTTATTTTTTATTAGAAAACAGAAACGAAAAATTTTAATTAGAAGTCAAAAAGATACGTTTGTCTTTTTGGAAACTTTTAAGATATTTTTAAACTTCTCAAACAAGTAATGAGTGTGGGTCAATTTGTTTTTCATTGAAAGGTTTGTGCGCAATTACGCACGCAACCAAAGCATAAATTATAAGTTCCTGTTAGTCGCCTCCTGCAAAATTGTAAAAATGTTACTATGAAACCGACTTTCCCAGATTTTATAATGTTACATTTTGTTATTTCAGCCACGCCACGGAAACAACGACGAGAAAGGACTACATTTACGCGCGCACAGCTGGACGTTTTGGAGGCGTTGTTTGCAAAAACAAGGTATCCGGATATATTCATGCGCGAAGAGGTGGCTCTGAAAATCAATCTACCTGAGTCTAGAGTACAGGTGAGTTTGGGGTCATTTTTATATTAATAATTAAAGTGGGGCGTGTTTTTATTTTCCTGAGGAAAAAGTGATATTTTTAAATCTCTTGAGTGAATTGTTTAGATTTAGTTGACAAATGTTTGTTTATAAATAGATCATATAAAACTCTTAATTATATATATTTTTCAATATTTTATGAAACAATACATTATTAAGCTTAAGAGCTATTTTTGTAAATCAAATGAAATAAAAAAAACGTTTTGAGAAAAAAATTATAATTAAATTGAAATTCAAAGATACTTTATTAATCCCAGAGGGAAATTAGAGTTTCAGTACACACAATTCTGAGATCAGACATACATACATACATACATACATACATACATACATACATACATACATACATACATACATACATACATACATACATACATACATACATACATACATACATACATACATACATACCATAGACACATGACAAGACTTGGTGACTGTGGTCATTCGCAACCCGAGTCACGCTACCTTAATAATGTTTTGAGTCTAAAATAAATTTTAAATTGTGGGGGTTTTTTGTAACAGAATTAACTAAATATTAAAAACTGGAAATGTATGGAAGACATTGTGTATTTGTATTTATTTATTATTTATAATATTGTCTGTTGTTGTTTCCAGGTGTGGTTTAAGAACAGGCGGGCCAAATGTCGCCAGCAGCAGCAGCAGCAGCAGAACGGGGGTCAGAACAAGGTGCGACCACCCAAAAAGAAAAGTTCGCCGACCAGAGAGGTCAGCTCGGAAAGCGGAGCCAGTGGACAGTTTACACCCCCCACCAGCACCACCACAGTCCCCGCCATCTCCACCAGCACCGCCCCGGTGTCCATCTGGAGCCCAGCGTCCATCTCTCCTCTCTCAGACCCGCTGTCTACCTCCTCCTCCTGCATGCAGAGGTCCTACCCCATGACCTACACCCAGGCCTCAGGCTACAGCCAGGGCTACGCTGGCTCCACCTCCTACTTCGGGGGTATGGACTGCGGCTCTTACCTCACACCCATGCACCACCAGTTATCAGGCCCCGGTTCAACTCTCAGTCCCATGAGCACTAATGCGGTCACGAGCCATCTGAACCAGTCCCCGGCGTCCCTGTCCACTCAGGGCTACGGGACGTCCGGTCTGGGCTTCAACTCCACAGCAGACTGCTTGGATTATAAGGACCAAGCTGCGTCCTGGAAGCTGAACTTCAATGCCGATTGCTTGGATTATAAGGATCAAACATCCTCTTGGAAATTCCAGGTGCTGTGAGCAGAGCAACCAGCTGTCACTCTGCACAAAAAGAGATGATGACATGAAAAAAAACCCCGTAAAATCAGACTGAGGGGGGAGGATGGGCTCTCAGGGGCCTCGAATTAGTTTTCTTTTTTTTTCTGGACATGGCAGTTTTTGCTCCTCCTAGAGGACACGTTTAATTTATTTTTTAGCTCTGGCAAATATTTTCCCCCATTCATTTACTGGTTTCCATCTCTTATCCGAGTCTGACAGCGCGTGCCTCTGTGCTTAGATGTCGAACACCTGTTGAGGGGAAGACGCAGACAGCACAGACGGAACTGAAACTCTGAACTCTGCTGACTGACCTCTTGAGGTGTTTCTGAGGATACTGTGTGGACATGGATGCACTACTTTATTTAAGGAAAAAAGTGTTTATAAGGAATCAATATGTAGTTTCTAAGAGACAATCAGTGTGAGACTTAAAGAAATGGTACTTATGTGTTTTTTTAATCTGTGCTAGCCTTTAAAACTGTGATCTGTTGTATTGTACACACTTTGTGAGCCCCGCACGTGTCAGACTCTCTGTTGTGATTTTATTAGATTTCTACTTTTTTTGGACAAAGAAGGAAACTAAAATTATCACAACAGAGACGAGAATTTGCAGACACATGGTGATAAACAGAGGGTTAGCCATGCTGGAAAAGACTCTCGGCTGATGAGAGCTCTCCACCTCCCACCCCCACCCCCACCCTTCCCTCCCCTCCTCTTCACTCACCCACCCCTCCCTCCCTCCTATGATCTCAACACGGTGATTGTGGATTCTTCACTGGTTCCCAAAGACGGTGTGACCTCACCCCTCACCGCTGAAAAGACATGAATAAAGGTCATGTGAGCTCACTCTTTCATCAAGAGAAACGACCTGTGTGTGCCTGTGTGGGATCATTTAAGATCAAATGTATTTTTTTATTATGAAAACAAAAATTTTACCTAAATTAATGACACGTTTTTGGATTTAAAAAAAGCATGATTACCACGTGAGTGCGTAAATTAAACCCCGAGCTTTGTTTTCCCACCCAGAAACTATTATTCCAACTCATTTAAAACGTATTTGATGAAGAAATGTGTGGATTTAACGTCTTTATCTATTCAGTGTTGATATAAACAAAGAAGGACAACGGGGATCGAAAATGTTTTATTTGGCTTAAAAAATCAGCGTGGCTGAACTCTTAAAGCTTGATTTCATTACCTAATTTTATTAAAGATTAAAATAAAATAAAAACGTTTTAACGAAATTGATATTATGGAAAGTCTGAGGGTAAAATGAAAAGATGTAGAAACATAAATATTACAAAGATTTTTTTCAAGAGTAAAATTGATTCAAATTTCAACTTTTTTAAAGTTCTCTTCACACAGAACATCATTTATTATCCAAACAACCACTCGCTCTAATCGTTTGTGTTTAAAATCTGCTACTGAAGCAGGATTTCTAAATCTAAACCCTCAAGTTTTCTAAATATAAAGTCAGAGCGGGTTTTGGAGGATCTGTAATGAGTCGACGTGGCTCTGCAGCGGGCTAATTGTTAGAAGTCCAACATTCAATTAGCATCCTTGACTTTGCCAATAATCTCTTTTTCATTGGAGGAGCGCACTAATTAAAAGCGTTGCTTGAAAAAACCGACGCGTAAAGAGAAGAGACACTTTGATGTCACTCCTGCGCGGACAAAAAAATAAAATTTTATTATAGTGCGCAAAAAATGCGTCATCATAAATTCTGGAGGGAAAAGCGCACAAATATGCGCCGTTATGAACATAACAGCAAGACAATTGAACTTGGGCACAATAGAAGCCTGAATATTCATGAGATGCGTCTGCAGCGCAGCTTCTCCTGAACTAAACCAAAAAGAGAGAAAAAAGGTTTCAGACTGGGGTCACTTTCAAATTTTAGCTGAAACAATTAAAAGAAGACATTTTTTTAATTCAGGGATTAATTTATCTAAACACGTGGACGTTTGGATGCAGTCAGAAGAACTCAGGAGGATCAATAGTCAACAACGAATCCAATAGCAGCTCGATTCCGCTGTGCGTCCAGAGCGCACGAGTCCATAATGAGTTTTAATCAAGCCCAAAGTGTAACAGAGCATATGGGACCAACAGACGCGTGTTTAATCCCCCCGGTGTCGGACAGCGGTCCTAGTCTGGGACTACCGGGAGGTTTCTTCTGCAAAGGCCGCAGCGGCTGCAGGGGAAGATGTGGTCCCTCAGTAGCAGAGATGACACTAAAGGAGAGGAAGCTATACCAGGGGGTCCGATTTACAGTAAAACACCATCATAACATTTAATGCATCTTTCCCACAATCCATAGAAATTTACCAGATGATGAAAGGAAAAAGACATTTAGGCTCAAAATCTTGCAAAAACAGATCTTTATTTGATTTAATGAAACTTCTTATTGGTTTATAAACAGGTCACACTAATTAAGAACTGTATAATTAAGCATTTATTTATTCTTTATCAGAAAACTAAAGTGGAATATAATCCATCAGGTGATCATTTTCTGTGAAGGCTTGCAGGAAACCAGTGTTTATTACTTCTGTGGGAAACCAAGTAAGTATTTTTCTTTTTTCATTTAGATGCAAATGAATCCACTTTGTTGCAGAAAAACTAATGGATGCTTGAAGCTGTCCAGGAATGTGGGACACTATTAAAATGAGAAAAATTTGATTTCAAGGTTTAAAAATCATTCTCTGATCTTAATTACCACAATGATTGCACAAATAAAGTGCATTTAGGACTAAACACATTTTGAAAAACAAGCACAATTATGTGTAAAATGGGCCAATAAGTAATAAAAAAATAACCAAAATAAATAAGATTTTAAGTTAATGCAGTATCCCCTCGGAAGTGCTCATCCAGGCTTAGTCGACTTTTTTTTTTATTCAAATTGTTTAAGTTTGTGACATCATCAATGAATTTGATAATCTTGTCACAGATTAAATTAAAAGGGTTTTTGTGCAACCTACATAATAACAGATTTAGATGTTTTTTAAAACAGAAAGTCTAAAGAGATTTGAAGTAAGCGCTGCAAAAAGCATGTTATTTTAATTTCTCAGACAAATCCATGGATTTACGTAGATCCAGAACTGATAATGAGCAGCTCCATAGCTGCAGGAAGAGCGCGGCCACACATCTACAAATAAAATAAAATAAAATATAATCAATTTCCTGTTTTGATTTATTTGTGGCAAGAAAACACACATGAAGATGCATTTTTCAGCTGCAGCAACAGGGTTACTGCACACATAAAAAAACTAAAAAAAAACTTATATGCCCAAACATTTGGCTTATGATGTTCATAAGCCCCGCAGGACACAGAGGGCTTATCAGTTCATTAGCCACTTGATGGCCTATTTCATGTTATAGTTGGAGGGAGGAGGGCGATGGATGAGGATAGAGCCGTCCATTACTGGAGCATATTTTGTTAAGCTATTCAGAGATGGAGAGGGGAAAATTCAAACCCATAAGAAGATTAGAAGACCTCAGCGTATGTTAAAAACATTATGGGTTGAGCTAATACCTAGTTAGTGAAAGCCCATACAGGATGTCCATTTAAAGGCCGTTTTCTGGCAGAAATGGGTGATTTATTGTCAGATTTTATCCACACAAAAAACAAACAAACAATTTTTAACATAAAATCCACAACAGTTGAAGTCATTTAGGAGTGCTGTTGTCCAAGACTCAAAATTTCCAATTGGATTAGTCCAATGTTGCAGCACGAAAACATTTAATCACCTCTAAGTGGTGATTAATGGTCTTCAAAGCTGCTAAAGTCTGTGAGGTCGTAGGTACAAGATCAAATATTTTAACAGGACGCGTCGGACCTCCAACAGAAATCTTGTTTAAATATCTGAAAATGAACATTTACATTAAAGCTTTTATTTCTGTGAAGGTAGGAAACAGCAGGAGCATCTGATGTGAAGATGAGAGCTAGTTAACACCCTAAAAATGCCCGTTTTATAACATAAAAGTAACATTTTAGGATTCCTTTTACTTTTTGCTATTTTTTTTCATCAGCTGGAACACTAAAACTGCAAAGTTTGTTCATTTTAAGTCAGGTCTCAGCAGCATGTGTTCACAATGTCAGTGAATCAGTTTTAGTTTGCCTGCAAAGATGGACAGAAAAAGGCAAATCAGCCCCAGATGCAGAATTTATTCTTTTCCTATTTCAATATTTCATCGAGTGTTGTTATACATCAATGAACTGTTTCAGGGGTGTCGTCGCACAAAAAAAGAAGCTAAGCCTGCTGAGTTCACACCCAGCAAGTGTCTGCTTCCATCCAGCGTGTCGTGAATACATGAAAGCAGCAAGTTCAGAAGTTCTCAGGAGCTCCACGATCACACGACGGATGTTTTCCACCGGCAGAACTACGGATCCTCGCTCTCAGATGCTTCTGTTTAACTAAATGCTGCAGGAAGTACATTTGAAGTGATTTTTGATGTAAATTTAGTTTTTTAAGTGCTAAAAAGCCAAGCAGCATGCAGAGAAAATCTTGACTTGATATTAAAAAAGAAAATTCAAAATTTTATTGGAAACTTGTAAAACAACCAAGCTAACTGAGATGATGATCAAGTTGTGAGTCAACACTAAAATCTTGGTTTTGGAGGATTTTTGGAGTCACAATCGAATGAATTGTTTGGGATTTTTTGTTTTTGTTTTGTTTTTAGCTACTTTGACAGAAAAATTGCATCCAGTGGTGCAAGAGCGACTAGAGGAGCATCTTTTTAGCATTTCCACTCACGTAACTGTACGGTCCGATCAGAGCCACGTCCCACCAAAACTCCTAAATGTGTCTCTTTCTTGTCACATTTTTATTCTCATGCAGCTAATTGAACATTTTTATCAGTATTATCCCCCCACCCCCACCCCACCCCCCCACCCCCCACCTGTTAGTCTGCATGCTGCCTCCCGCTCCCCTGGGAGCATATGGGCTGACCCAGAGAGTCGTTGAGTGTGGGGACAGATGCATCCCCCCACCCCTCCCCCCTCAGTCACCCGCCACCACCAGCCCTTCCCTTCCATCCACCTGTTTAGGTCACAGACCAGGGGGGTGTGCGCGTGCCACACCGGCGGCTTGGCCACCGCTTTGTTACCCCAAACCAACACAAAAGGGTACTTAGGAAGGCCGGCTGCCCGAGTTGAGGGGGTGATGCTGGGGGAGGGGGGGGGGGGGACACAATGCCATGAGGCTGGCAGGCCTCTGGACCCGGGCAGTCCATCACGTGCCCGCCTTATGGGAGCGAGCGTCAGGGGGCATCTGTCTCTAACCTGAGGTATTGTGGCGCACACAAAGAGCATGACGCATGTGTGAGAGGTGGTTACCTCAAAACAATCACGGCTTTGTAATTAAATGAGGTCCACACTTGATTACTCTAGTTTATGTAAATATAACAGGTCAGTCTGAGCTGCCAGCTACGTTTCTATTGGGCCACTCGTGTTTATGAGTCATTAATGCATGTTTTTGATTCATTTCTCAATCTGAACAAAGGAAAATGTTGTTTTTTCCATCAATTCATGAAAATCACGCACAAGCTGTGATTAAATAATGGAAGCCATAAAAACTGTATCAATATCTTTTTAAATAAGTAAAATATCACGTCAATCTGTTATTTATTTTAAATCTTGTATTTTTATCCTTAGTTTCTTCATTTTTTAATCTGCACACTTTGGTCTGTTAAGCTGACTATTTAATGAACATTTTAGAAATTATTATATCATGTTGCATGGATGAGTTCATGTAAAAAAATTCATGTTGATTCAAAATGAATGAAATACCACTTTTTCAGCATTGATACGGATAGCAAATTAGTCAAATCTTTGTCAAAAATGCCTCAAAAAAGTAAATTAAACTCATGAATATTTC